TGTAATTACAAACCTTGCTATGAAAAAACTAAAAACGTAAAAACTTGTATTTTGTTTGGTTACTTATGGTTATGGTTAGGGCAGGGTAGGGGTTAAGGTTGTCATAGTTAGCGTTAGCATTTTTCCCATTGAAATGAATGAGCGGTCCCCATAAGGATATGTTTACCCTACATATGCGTGCGTGTGTGTGTGTGTGTGTGTGTGGGGTCTCCCAGGACTGGTTTGAGAAACAGTACATAGCATCCGCTCAAATATATATAATATACACCCAAATATAGCTGATTTTATTATAAGTTGTATCTTTTAACTAAGATCTTACCTTGCAATTGAGAATCTTATCCGCGTGTCTTGACAAAATGGAGAGTCCAGAATTAAAATACTTTTACTTTCATATACAAACTGGAAATGCTGCATACCAAACGCGGGAGCGGTCTAAGCAGAAATGGACGCGGACTCAGTGGCCCGGCGTAGGATTGTTGAGGATATTATCCATGCCGACTTAATAACAAGTAACAATAAGAGAAAGGGGACAAGCTCCCGCCGCCACCTAATTCTGTCATGACGCACATTTTGCTTTATACTTGTACATATAAACGCGGTTCTGCAGTGACACTTAAATCAATAACATACATAAATCATTATCACACAATCTTACTCACGATTCACTTTTCACATTTGTCGCTGCCCTACGGCTGCTTTACACAGATCCCTCTGTCTTTCGAGACAGACATGTCCTTCTAAGTGTGATCTGAACAGTGGACTGTAGGCTACTTAATGTACAATATATAGATTTACAGGAGTACCAGATCTGAGATGTGTGCACTGTCATAGACGGTCCACTGCTCTAAGCTCTTTACTAGATGTGTCTTATTTTGTCTTACAGTTACTAACCCATGTATGTATTGTCCTCACATTATGGATACGGTATAATAATTAATAAATATGTACACATAAGTAACCTAAAAATGCAAGGGGTGTGCATTGGCCCCCAGAGTCCACTGTTCAAAGCCCACTTTGCAGAACATGTTTGTCTCGTTTAGCTTTAGAGTAATTATGCCATTTCCTACCCTTTGTACTATGAATGGACACTCGGGGCACCAGTGACTGTGAGTGAGTAGGAAGTGCGCATGCGAACATTTAAACATTAATTAAAATTCGCCCGTTAAAAAATCTGGAAAACCAACCACACAACCGCAGTCACACATACTGACATACAGATATACACGCACTCATGCACAGGCGCACTAGGGGTGTGTTACAGCGCGGTACGGCACAGGCGGGGAAAAAGGTGACGATCCACTAGCTTCTCCAATTCAAAAAGGCTTTATTAATGTCTGTTTTAGTTCATGTTATGTTATGTTTATGAGCTCTTATTAAAAAGCACCAAAACACACATTTTAAAAACAACACAAAGGAGAACCTCAAAATGATATTCACAATTGTGGTGAAATGTATGCAGAAACCTTCCAACAATGTAGTAAATATGAAAACACATCGTCTGCTGATGAAATAAAAAATACTTTCTCAACTTTTTTAGCTCATTCTTAGATTACATTCTTTTGATCTCAGTTGTAAAAATGTGAATGTCCAATATAAAACAACAGTGTCACGCCCAGTGAGGCAGGGCAGCACAGTGGTAGACAATCGCCGCTTAATCAGCAGGATGATCCAATCACTACTTAAGGCGATCGCAACCTCCCGGAAGTTGCGAGGTATTGTTGTCATTTTCAAATGTGCCTTACCGAGCGTTTTGCCTGTCTCCTGTCTCCCCTGCTTGTCCTGCCCACCGTGTCCTGCCCTGCTGTTTCGCCTGCCCTGCTGTTTTGCCTGCCCTGCCTGCTCCTCGCCCCTCTTTGACCTGCCCGATCCCATCTGACCTGCCCTTCTGCTCCGTCCTGCCCTGACGATCCGGGTCCTTTTCCTTCGTCCCCCCCGTCCCGTCTATCTCCTGGTGATCGACCTCCACCCGTTTTACGACTACTCTTTTGGATTTCCCTTCTGGGTCTGTTTGCACCCGGCTTTTCTAATAAAGCAGTCTCCTGCATTATGGGGTTCGCATGATCCTTGGCTGCACAGCCTAACAAACAGTATGATCATTCTGTATGGTCATTTTTGTTAACATTTTTATTTATTGTCTGTTTAATTTTGATATAAGCTCATTTAAATCATATTTGAAAAAATACAAACCATAAAATACTAGGTTACACAAACTAGACTTAAAGCAATCCGATTCCACTGTCGCATGACATCCACATACAGTATATTGCCGAAAGTATCGAGACCCCCCTCCAGGTCACTGAATTCTAGTGTTCCAGTCACTTCCACAGCCACAATGTGTGGTGACATGCTGTGGCCTGGCGGGGAGACAGGCGCGGAAGTCCAGGGATAAGGGTGACACTTGGGATTTATTAATCAATTCAAGAACATTAAGGGTGTGTTCATGTTACATTTGCAAGTTAATTGTGAGCCATTTGAATAAAATTCATAAAATGTTGGCTACTGAATTTATTCAGTAGCAGAGGTTCAGCCTTATCTGTTAGATGAGGTATTGTTTTAAAAAAGTGGCGAAGGTTATTTCTGTTGCAATGAATAAGATTAGAATAATAGGCTGAACTTGCCCTATAAAGGGCTTGATTGTATTGTTGCAGGCTGTCAGACCAGCCAACTTTAAGACTTCTAAGCCCGTGGATTTACATTTGTGCTCCAATCTGCAACACTCCTGTTTGTAAGAGCATGTGTAATCATTAAACCATCAGGAGTGTCTGGTGGTTTTTTCAAAGGAGCTGTTTCATCTAAAGTATAACTAAACACTGTATTGAAGTCATGGGTGACATCATTGACATCTGTACTGGACATCAATTCACATTATTACTGCATTATTTCTATCATTTAGGTGATGTGTCCTAATAATCTTCCCTGCCATAGTCAAAGAGGGTGACTCAATCAGGAGGGTGATTAGAAAATGGTCAGAGAAGGACTTATTTAATGGACAGACAGATACACGATCAGCAGAAACTCAGTGAGTAATAATCAAGTCTAGTGTATGATTGTGAACAGGCGTTGGTCATGTTATGTGTTGCTGACATTCAACAGAGTCCAGGAGAGACAGGAAACTTTTGCTGAAAGCATCAGTCTCTATGTTCACATGTATATTGAAGTTTCTAAGTATTATAATATTCTCTAAGTTAATAACTAAGTCGGATAGAAGTTCCCCAAATTCTGTCAGAAACAAAGCGTATGATCCCAGTGGCCTGTATACTATAACAATATAGATGGGCGGGTCGGACACCATGTGAATTAGCATCGCTTCAGATGTTACATGGAGTTAAAATAGCTGCCCGGCTGCCAAATTAATGGGACTGATATTAAATTATCCATACAGGAGCCGCCAGTGGAACTTTTAGATCCAAGTCTAATAATACTTGCAATATTCTTTCTATGCTCACTCAACTCTGTTTGCTTAGGTATGCTTATGTAAAGGGAATGCTTACGTATAAGGTATAATTTATACAGCCAAGAGAAATATTCTTCATCAAAATCCATTTCATTAACCTGTCTGGGAAGATTATGACTAAAATTAGACTAAAATTAAATGACTGAATAAATCTTAACGAAAACAAAGAAAAAACAAAAGACTAAAATGTGCCTTTAATCCAACTACAATTTTCAGTAAGTGACTAAGACTAAAACTAAATTAAAAATTATTGCCAAAATTAACACTGTTGCACATCTCTGTCATACCTGATAACACATGACAGCTTCAAATCAAATCAGCAGTAAATCTGGAGAAAAAAACCAAAGAACCGTAAACTTCTAAACAGACACAGAAATTCATTCTCAATAGAACTGCTACCTAATTTCTATCCACAAAATCAAATATGTGGATTATAACTGTTTTGCCGAAAAATAATGAAAGTATGAGTGAAAGCTAAATAAATGTGTATAGTTTGTTTAATATACTATTTTGTTCATACACTGCACATCCACTGTTTGCCCAGTCTGCTCTTCTCAGTCTGGTCTCAGTCTAAAACCACACCTACTGCAGCCTGAGAAGCAGGAAGTTCCTCGCACTTTCACACATAGATAACTGTGAGGGAAATCTAAACTGAATTAGTGTTGGTGGTAAAATGGCGGAAGCCAGTTCAACATTGGATCCAAACCAGTTCAGCTGCCCAATCCATCTAGAGATCTACTGAAAGATCCAGTGACTATTCCTTATGGATACAGTTACTGTATGAGCTGCATTAAGATCATGCTGGAGTTTACAGCTGCCCCCAGTCCAGACAGACCTTCACATCCAGACCTGTTCTGGGCAGAAACAGCATGTTGGCTGAAGTGGTGGAGAAACTGAAGCAGACTGGACTACAAGCAGCTACTCCCACTGACCATTATGCTGGACCTGGAGATGTGGAGTGTGATTTCTGTACTGAGAGAAAACAAAAAGTTGTCAACGTGAGAGAGCAGATCTCACGTTCACCCCCTACTGCCATCCTGAGGTAACTGCGGGTTCCCTATCAGTTGCAGAATCTGAGAGACAGTGTTTCCTTTACTAACGACCCAAGTCTGAGTCTGTTTAGGCTGCGCCTGACAGCAGCTGGAATGTAACACTTATAGAGACTAAAGTGCATGAGCATGAGGGTTTACAGCTGATATACTCACAGACAGTGACACACATTGTTGGGTTGAAATTGTATATATATTATCACTCACGTGTATTCTTAAGAATGTACAACCTGTTCCATGTAGTAACAGTGTAAGTGCTTAACAGTAATTTTCCACCATGTGCAGCAGATGAGGCCTATGACACGTTCTGTTGTTCCTGTTCCCACTCCCACTTTCCCATTGCATCCTATCCCATTCCAAATGTTGTTCACACCCACAATGT